AGGGGCCGTGAATACTCACTTTCCGTAATGAAATAGCTCATATCACAATTTCAATCATGCTTTTCACCCCAAAACGTGAAAATGGTAAAAAGGGGATGTGAAACTCTCTCTTTTGCAAAACTCCGCAAATTAAAGATACGATCCGGTCACCACACGAGCTTAACGATTCCCTATCAAAGAGGAATATCCAAAACCGTCACTTATGGGTTTAAATCTACTTATGGGGATTAATAAGTCCAACTTGATTATCTATAGTCCAAATATACATAATGCCCATATGCTCGTTAATATAGTAATTTATACCGGAAATAATGCTATAGTCCAATAAAAAGATCAAAATTTACAAAATCAAATAATCCCAAAATCTCATTTTTGGGCAGAAACTAATGATACTTAAAATGATCAATTTAAAGAGACTTCTAGAATGAGATAGTTTCCTATCTTTTTACATGGGATATAGCACTGAGTTATGGTCATTGTGACCAAATTTCATGCATTTTGGACATGTAATAATGATTTAAATAATTTATGCAATACAATATATCACAACTGATATGGCAGATTACACCATGTTAGTGAAATACTCATATAAAGAGTTCTACTAAGTGTTCTACAGAAATTCAAGTTGGATTATAAACTTAACACTTAAATAAAACTTTTAAACTAATAATCACTCATTTTGGATGAGTTGAGAGGAAGATATGGCACCATAAAGTTACATGCACACATCTGTCATTAGTTGACAGATTGCACACTTAACTTAATTAAATTGGTTAATGCCTCAAAACTTCATATTTTTCAGTGAAACTGGGTTCATATGAACCCTAACTCATAAAAGAAAATTTCAGAAGAAGAATTATACACTATGAGCAAGTAAATAAAGAGATATTAGCATACAAAGTAGGAGTTACCTACTGATGGTTTCACAGTTTGCACACCTAAAGCGTTTTAGGTGTTTGGCGATCAAAACTCCATATTTTCATGTGATTCCACTTGCATGCAGACGATAACTCATTTAATTAACTTTCAAAGGAAGAATCATCCTTTTTCATGAAGTTTTGAAAGAGATATGGTCATTGGAACATACATATACAAATCTGTCAGATTCGGACAGATTGCATGTTCACTTTGTTTTGAGTAGTTAAAACCTCAAATCACCATAATATTGAATGAAATCGGTGGCATTTGAAAGGTAACTCATTAAACTAATATCCAGAAGAAAAATCAATGACTTTTAATGATTATTTAGAGAGTTATGGCTGTTTAAAGTAGGGTTTACCTACTGAAAAACTCTCAGATGCACATATATGATGTTTTGAGTATTTGGGGAGTCAAAACTCAATGTTTTTGAGTGAGACCAATTGGATTACAACCCCAACTCAATAAATAAACTTTTAGAAGAAGATTCATAATATTTGAACATATCATTTTCAAGATATAGACGATTTGTTCACATGCACATAATCTGTCAGCACCTAAAAATGCCATTTTTAAGAAACAAACCCACATGCAACATGATTTTACCCATTTTCTCGAGTTCTAATGTTTGGGTCATAGATTACCACCATCATATGAACATTTTTACATGTTTTTGGTGTGTAATCTCTCCCTAAAACTCAGAATTTTCGGAGGTTAGAAGATAGTAGAGAGAAATGCATAAAAGTGGGTTTTTCCCGCAAAATTTGCAAGAAAAAGATGGAGATGAAGTTGTTACCTTGATTTATGATGAGAGGGATGTAATATCTTCAAAATCCTTGCTATTTTGATGGAGAAATATGGAGAAATGGGCTGGAGTAGGAAGGATGAAGAAGATGATTCTWTGAGAGACTCTTGAGTTTAGAGAGGGAAAGAGAGGGAGTTTCAAGTTTTGAAATGAGAAAATGAGTTGTAATTGGAGAAATGATGCTATTTATATGTGGGTAAT